TATGAAATTAAGGCTCACCCTTTTGGGCAGCAGCTCATCATGGGCTAGAAAGCCTGGCTCGTGGAAATTTGGGTCGTAGTCACCATACTGTCCCAAAAAAAGAAAAGTTATTTCAGTTTGTTAGAGGCAGAATGCTGAGGGAGTTGTTCCTTGCATAGTTTGAAGTGAAAGCTTAATGCAGATTTTATTTTGGTTCCCCTGCACACATCCCCTCATCTGAGCAGGCCATGGAAGATCCTTCCAGAGAGATTACACTAAAATGTTAGGACCAAATAAATCCCCTAAAATGCAGAAGCATAGAACAAAAATCCTTGTAGTGGCATTTAATATTTTGGGGTTTTTTTCTAAGTGTGCTGTATCTTCCAGGATGACCAACTTCACCAGCAAATTTTACCCCTGCTGTGTTTTACACACAACCACGTACATGTGTTGGCTAAACCATAAAAAAAGTCAATTAAAAAAGAGATTTTCTATGCACAAACCTTGGCCTGAACAGCATAAGAAGCCAGTAAAACTGTAGCTTCTGGTGAGCAATAGATTTCCTCATCCAGGATCTGCTTCTTCACCTAAACCAACAGAAAAAGGGAACAGGTTCAAAGTCAGGATTTAAGTCAGGCTTGAAATGAAAGCAGACATGCCCAGACCAGAACTTGGCACCAAATATTAATTTTAGGAGTTAATAACAGCAACAAGAAATTGGCACTCAGGAACACAGGAAGCCTTTAGTTAGCATTGCATTTAATGAGACCAAAAATGCCAGTCAGCTCTGTGCACACACTAACACAAGCAGTCCTATAAAATAAAATCCTATAAAACATCAATTTTATTGTCTGCGCTTCATTTCTTTTAACAATCCTTCTTTTTTCCTTTTTTCCTGCCTTTGGAAAAGTCAGCTTTACATCACATCAGCCATCAGATTTTAGGTTGGGAGGGAGCTCTGGAGGTCAGGTCCAAGCAGAGCAGACTCAGGGCTGTGCAGCTGCCATAGAAAATCCACAAGAATTTGGATTTTCTGCAGCTTTCCAGAATGAGAGAATAAAGGAGATCCTCAAAAGAGCAGCTGAATAATAAAGCACTTCATTTATTCATTTTCAACGGTCTAAGCACAATCAGACAATGCTAAAGAGTCTTTCAACATTCTTTTCATTTTAATAACCTGTGGTGCCACCAGGAGCAGAGGTGTTACAGTTTGTAAGGTGTTGTTTGATTTTAAATCAGTTGTGCAATTTCTGTTTGAAAACCTAAAGAGGGAAGGGGAAATTAATCTTCCCAAATCCTCCTCTCAGGTGTATTTAGCTTAGGAACAAGCACAAGAAAACAAAATTCTGCAAAACTCACAGTCTTCAACATTTCCAAATGGAAAAATGTCTTGAGCTAGCACAAGTTCTGCTTGCAAACACACCTCTGTAGGTGCTGGGAACTGAAATGAGCCACCAAGAAAGTTTTTTGCTTTCAAATTCAATCCCTGGTGAGCACAATCTGTGAGGCTGAGTTACAGTGCAGGGAACATTCTTTCTGAGCTGTTAAAATGGAAAGAATGGAAAGATTTTTCTTCCAATTTGGAAAGCTCCAGCTTTCCCTCTCCAGAGTGCAAATCATGCTCCAGAATTCAGAACAATGTGGATAAATCCCCCATAAGTGTCTGGCTTGTTTTGTTTGTTTGGGTTTTTTTTTTTCTGATCAGTTTTTACAAGGACTTTTTGCTGAACTTCATGAAGAAGCAATGAATTACCTCATCTTTAAGCAGACAATATTTAGCTTTAGTCACTGACATTTATTCAGGCATTTATGCCACATTAATTTGCAAAGGTCTGAAGAGTCAGGAGAGCTGAAATCTTCAGGCATCCAGATGTCTGAACATGTTTTTCCTATTGGCATCCAGGTGTGAGCTGAAGTTCTTACACTCAGGAAACTTTGCAAGTTCCAATTTGTTTCAGCCTTGTTTTCCTACTTTGGAATGAGAAGAATTTGCTAATTGCCTATCTGCTAGTTAAGGCAGGTTCAAGCAGAAAAGCAAAAAAAAAAGTGGAAAAATCAGGATTAAAAGAGTTCTGCTGTCCTCATTCCTTTCCAAAATTAGCTGAAGAAATAAATTGCCAAGTTTCAGAATGTCTATCAAATTCCATGATCTTTTATCCCTACAATCCAAAATGAAGGTTGAGGGAATTCCATCTTTTATCCCTACAATCCAAAATGAAGTTTTAGGGAATCCTTGTTTTCTAGAGGTTTTGCTCTCCAGCACAAAATTTCTCTGAAAGCTCACAGTTCTTCCAGCAGTTCCAGCTTTGGAAGGAATTTTTAAATTCCAGCTTTGCATGGAATTTTAATGTTTTTAACACATATTAAAGAGCAAAACAAGCCTGGAATATTCAGGTTTGGAATTATCCCCCAACCTGCTGGGTGTTGTCACAAAAACCTGCAGAAAATGAAACATTCAGCTTACCTGGACACAAACCCACAGCAGGCAGGAGAAAAGTTTGTATTTCATAAAAATAATGTCTGCAAAGTTCTTGATACAGCTGAAGCAAGCAAAATTATCCCAAGCTGCCAACAAGATCAAAGACAATGCAAAAGGACTGGGGGAAACACAGAAGGAATTCATGGTTCAAAACTTTTCCTGACCTGAAGGAAGAATAAATGCTGGGTAATTTCCTGTAAGAGTTCCTCTTCTACCTTCTCTGGGTAGAATTTAGCCAAAAAATGAAAGCTAATGGGATCTTCTTTGGGGATTTCTTGATCTAAAACCTGTTTACAGATAAAATAAAATGAAATCAGCAGCAAAAAGGATACATGAGTGTCTTGAGATAATATTCCCAAGGAAAATCAGAAAGCAGCCAATAATCCACTTAAAGCCCTCCCATATTTTAGAGGGCAGGGTAATTCTGAGCTTTAATCTAACAGCAATCAGCGGTGATTAGTGTGGGATGCTGCAGGTCAAATGGGATAGAAGCAATCAGAGCAAATAATCCTATTTTCACCTTAAAGAAAGCCACCATGTCAAATTCTCAGTTGTCATGGAACCCATCCCTTCAGCTCCCACGCTCCAGAAAGTCAATATTTATAGAAGTAAATAATTAATTGCCACCCATGTTGTCTCCTGTACCTTTTTGTCCATCTTTAACCAGGTGCACATTCCTTTAATTGTGTACTGCAAGCCAAAGAACCAGGTCTCCCTTAAACCAAGGGCTCGGCACACCAGGTCAAACAAATCCTTTCCCTTCCACTTCATCTGAGAGAGAGAGAGAGAAAAATCAAGAAAAACATGTATATCCTGAATTAATTTGCTCCATTTGAGCCTTTTCTCCTATGAAATCTTATTTTATCTTTAGGTTTTTAATGAAATATTCTTGCTGCTGTGTCAGAGTTGCTGTGTTCCCCCTCCTCTCCCTCTCCAGACACATCCAGAGAGCAGCTGGAGTCATTTCCCCACCAAGCACTGGAGGGAATGAGGATTGTGTTATTGATTTCCCTGGGATGTGGCAAGTCTTTATTAATATTTGTCCAAAATTTTCACTCAATGCTTTACACAAATTGGAGAGACTGAGAGAAAGCCAGGGGAAATCAAATCAGGGCACGGGGTAGGAGTGCTGAACAATGAGAACAGATCCACCTTTCCCACCCCTCAGGGATTTCAGTGGCACCAGGCCAAGCCTTTATCCTGCTCTGATTGAAATGTTCAATATTTCTTCTTCTTCAATATTTTCATTTCAATTTAGCAGCCACAGAGAGCAAACTTTGATTCCAAGGTCCCAAATTCACACAAGCCTGATGCCTTGTTCCCTTCACCAAAGGGGCTGCTCCTCTGTTCCACCACAGTTCGGAAAGATGATTTTAGATAATTGCTAAAACTAAAAAATTAATGGCAAAAAAAAGGGAACTTTTAGGCAGTATTGGAGTGGAAAGCTGGAAATTATCCCAGCAAAAGAGCAGGGTCTGGGGAGAAAGCAGAGGTAGCAAAGGAAGGAACACACTATTTGTTAACAAGGACTCTGAGCTCTAAATCAGATTTTCCAAATCCTTAATTTTCACAATCCTGCCTGCAAGTACTGCAGAGCAGTAAGTCATCCAAGATTAATCTATCCTGTTTCTGAAGGACCTAATAAATTACATTAAATGGCTCACAGAGCAGTCAGGTCTCACTAAAACTGCCAGTCCCACTGGAACTGAGTTTTCTAACTCCCCAAAACACCTCTGTGCCTTGTTTTGCTTTTGCTGGATGATTAGGAATTAATTAATCAGGGACAGTTCTGTCCCTTCAATAGTGCAGCCCAATTTATTTAGCAATTGATCATTTATTTTTTTCCCCAGACATGATTTCCCTAATTAATTTATCAGCCATAATTAATAGAACTGCCAGCTTTTTCATCAATCCTTTTTTCTCTTCTGCCCAGAGATCCAAACACCCATTGCAGGTAAAGAACTGGAGTTTATAAATGGAAAATTGCTCAACAAAAGTACCAGCTTATAAATTATTTTATCAACATTTTAGCACCAGCTCTGACCAGTTTAATCTAAGCTGAAAGTGTCTTAAAGAGCTGTGTCAGTTCCAAAAAAAAAAAGAAAATTTTATGGAGAAATAGGAATCCTTGCAAACAATTGGAATGAAGAAAGCAGTTTTAGTATTAATTTAGCTGTGTCAGTCAAATGCATTTCATGCAAACAACTTTAATTCTGAAGAGTTAAAAGAAGAACACAGCTGAGATTAAATAATCCATTATTTATAAAAACTACATCAGATTTAAAACCATCCACGAGCTGATAATCTGAATTTTTTCCAATCTCTTGCTAACACAAAGGGCACTCCCCACTCTCACCTCACAGCTGAACTCCATCTCAGCATCCACTGTTATAATTCTGACTTTAAAAGTCTTTGGTTGTTTCTTCTTCAGGCCTCTGATGGACATATTTTTCAGCTGATGAGGGCAGCCACACCTGAAATTAAACATTGGAAATTCAGCAGCATTTTCTTGGTTGGATTCCAAACCAGGATGAGTCCAAACATGCAGAATAAATTCACCGTTAGAGATGCATTTTTTGTGGCTAATAAGGATGTTGAAAGAAAAACCTTTTAAATTAGTTTGCTGCTTAAAGGAAGTTGCTCAGAAAAATGTTATTGCTGTCTTTTCTCACATTTTGGCTATCATAAATAAAATTCTCTTTCTCTGCAGCATCTCCACTCTGTAGAACACCAGAAAATGCATCTAAATTTTATTCTATCAAATCCAGCACAATCCTTTCCCATCAGTTATGGCTCCTTCAGCAACTAAACTATTGGATTTCTTTCTAACATGAGGTTTTAACTCCCTCAAATTATACAAATGCCAAGAATTTATGCAATGAAATTCAGCTGAATTTACCACATTCCCACGTGCTACTCACTCACAATGATAAAAGGTTTTTAGAACAAGAATTTTCCCAGTGAAGTTCTCGTGAAATTAACTTAATTTTGCGGAAGCTGACAGAAAATCCCATCAGAAATCTTCTATTCTAAATGTAATCACCTCCATGCCAGCCAAAAAGTTGAGGAGATGCTGCTTCCACAGGCACAAGAGCCTTGTGGAAAGCAAATATTGAAAGCTGGAGTTAAATGAAGGTGTGAATCTGCTCCAGGCAGTTCCCAGGCATTTCCTTCTGAGCACAGGAAATCAGCCTGTAAAGGTTTTTGCTTCTTTTTACTTTATAAAATTAACAGGTCAGTCTTGCATAATGTAGTGAGAATCTGTGAACTGCACAGGGCAAGAGACTGAGGCATTCCTGGTTTCCTGCAACACAAAACCATTACAGTGTGGCAGAATTCCAACCTCCCCTTGAGGAATTCCAAAATAAAGCTCTAGCTGAAACTGAAAATTTCCATTTGCCTGCGCCTTCCAGGATTTCATAAAATATTTTCGTTTTTTTTTTTTTTTCCTAACAGCTCTAAATTGGCTTGAAATGTATTGGTTTTTCCACTTACTTTGTTTGTGCCACCCTCCCACAAATTTTGAGGGGTTAAATAGGAGGGGAAATAGATATAGAAGGTTTTTTTGAGGTGAAATAGATTTGGAAGTGTTTTTTTGAGGTGAAATAGATTTGGAAGTGTTTTTTTGAGGTGAAACAGATATGGAAGTTTTTCTTGAGGTGAAACAGGTATGGAATATTTTCTTTAGAGATTACAGGGAAGCTGAGGCAGGGAATAGATAAAATAGTCACCAAATCATAGGGATATCAGAGGCAGAGCTGAGAACAAGTGATGGAGACAACTCAGAGTGGGGAAGAGGAGCTCAGGAGGAATTTCATCCTCCTGACACCACTGGGGAGTTGGGGAGTCTCTCTCTGGCTCTGGTGGAGCTTCCCTGAAGTCTTGTTTGGGTTTGGGGCACCACTTCTGGAGCTGGGAAGACAACTGGAGTCCAAAGGAGAGGTCCCAGGGCTAGAAAATCATCTGTGGGGAGATGAAAGCAAGGTTAGAACACAGAAAGGGGGAGCGGCTGCTCTTCAGGACAAGGAATAATGGGGTTCATGGAGTTGCAGACTGAGGAAAATTCGAGAATAATCAGGATATTATGGTGCTGGAAAAGCACAGGGAGGCATTTTTGTTTCAGAATTCCCCCCCAAAAACAACGTGACAGCATTGTCCTGCAGACTGGAGGCACCTAAACCCTCAAAGGAGTTCTGCCATGAGAGGCCACACCACCCAAAACCAGTGAAATGCACAATAAATAAAGAACAGCACACCCAGAGCCCAAATCCCATCACCCCCAGGGCGCCTTTCTCCTCAGGGATTATATTTTAGAGTGAAAACCAAACTTTCCTCTATAATTTAGGCAGCTCAGTGCAGAGCTCAGGTCTTTTCTACTTAGCACAGCAAAGAATTTTCAATTAAGGAAAAATATTGAAAACCCCCAAAATTACCACAGCAATATTGACATGCATCATGTGAGGGCATCCAAACCAGCAGTAAATTACCACAGACATCTTTTGATCCCTAATCTGCAAAATTAAATTTTAACCTGTTGCATTCCAAAGATCTTTTCCATCAGTTTTTGTTCAAAACTGTAAATAATTGTACCATACAGCATTGATAGCCTGAGAACTACAGACTTCTACACAAAAACGGAAATAGATTTCTTCGTTTCTAGAAGAAACATCAATGCTTGAAAACTAAGGAGAAAAAAAGCTTCATAATTCATTTTTAATATGTAACCTGAAACAGCCAGCTGAGTTAAAAAGGAACTTGGAGTTAAGGCCAGTACAGAACATTCTCAGAGTTTCATATGGAAAAGTCTGAACAGATAAAATTGAACAGTTGGAGAAAAATGTACTCATTTTCTCAAAATATGAGAAAAATACCAGAGCTTTTCATTTGGACTTTGAAGTTATTTCTTTTTTTCTTATATAACCAGGTTGAAACGACAATATAATTTGTTCAACATTTCCAATAGCTTTTTTTTTTTGTTCTTTCCAGAATTTTTATTCCATGGAAAAGTACATTCTGACTCACAGCAAAAAGGCATTTTTGAATATCAAATTTTCCCCAGAAAAAAGTAAACTGCATTTTAATCAATAGCACTGGTAAAGAAATTGGAAAGGGTTTTCACACTGAATAGCTGAAATGAATGTCAGATCCTGACAACAGAAGCAAGAGCACTTAGCAGACAAGATTTTAGAGAAATAACTTTTTCAAGTAAGAGAAGTCTTGCTGAAAAAAAAAAAAAAGACAAGGAAAAAAAAGAAAAATAAGAAGGGTTTGCAATTTTTTTGTGTAAATGCAAAAGCAATTCCTTCTAACAACAGGGAATCGAGTGCTCCAAGGCTCCTGACACCCAGCTCCAGTGATTTACTCCTGCAGGTGCCACAGGGAATCCAGAAGGAGCAAAATGTGTTGGATCAGAGCATGAATGCAAAGCAGGGCAGGGTGATGAAAGATTCCTGCCCAGCCAGAATCTGATGGGAACAGAGAGTTCAGGAGCTGGGAATGGCAACAAGCACAGGGAGATGAGTGATAAAAGCTTGGTGTGCTGAGGGGAGCAGCAAGGCAGGGATGGGGAATAAAATGAGAAGGAACAAATGAGCCCAAAGCCTCTGTGGGTGCCCAAGATGAAAGGAGGGACATCGGCAGCTCTGGGGCTGAGTGTTCTCCCTGCTGGAGAACGAGAAAGCGGCAGCAAAGCGCGGGGGAAGAGCAGGAAGAACTGGCCAGGTCGGTGTCCCAGCACTTTGATCCACGCGGGGAGGCACCCACAGAGCGCTCAGCACCCACCCACGGGCAGCCACGGAGGGAAAGGGGGAACCAGCAGCACCACACACACTCACCGGGCTCCACAAATCCACCAGAACTCGGCGCCTTGCAGGCAAAAACCTGCTGCCCGAGGGTGAGAGTGAAATTTATGCTCAGTGAGTTTTGGGGGCAATTTGTGCTCAAGGTGAATGGATGGGTTTTGTAGGGCTCTCCAAACCTTCCCTTCAGGTGGCACTGGCTCTCAGGGACAGTCATGACCATCCATCACCCCTGGGGCAGCACACTGGGGTGAAAAATCATGTTTTCACACACACACACACACAAAACCCAGCAGCACTTTTAAGGGGAGAACTCAGGTGCAGAGAGGCAAAGAATTAATGGTGATCAAGACCCCTCTTACACCTTCACAATGAATCAGCCTTGAAAGGATCAGCATGGTCCTTACAAACACAAAACCTTCGGGATAGCACCGAGGATTCAAGAAACAAGGCTTGGGAATGACTTAAGAGCCACCAGCAGAAGATGCTTGAAGCACCCCACTGCAAAAATCACATTAGCTGCAGCTTGAGAGAGTGTCAGCGCTGAAATATTTACTGCGACTCCGAGTGGCGAATTCCCCTGACTCATTACGTTTCTCCCGGTTCCTGAATTTCCATACTCCGGCTCGGGAATGAATGCAAAGGATTTGAATGCAGACAACACAGGCGAGAGAGCGTCGTGGGCTCCGTGCTGCTGTTGACTCACGCTCCTGCCTCTGCTCCCTGCCCGAGGAGCGATTTCAGCGAAGAATTCATTGTTTTAAAATGGGTCAGCAAGATAAAGGGTTTTTTTTTTTACCCCTCACTCTTAAAAGTAGTTATCTAAAGTCACCAGCTGGAGCAAGACTTACCTCACAGATGCTTTTTTTGAATGATGATAAGAAAGGGGGGAAAAAATCCCTTTTAATCCAAAAACTCCGTATTTTCCCCGCAGACATCAATATGCAGCCCTCACAAGTTTTGCCACTAAGAATAAAATCCAAGAACAACTTTTCTACTTGATCCCCTTCCCTTTGTTTCCATGAACTGCAGCATGTTAGCGCCCTCTGAAAAATCAAAGGATTGCTTTCCCAGGTGATAGGAACTCTTTAACCATTTCCTGCCCGCACCAGTGCTCCTCCCCACTTCCCTGCTCTGTAATTCAACCAACCAGGCACTAAAAGAAGAGAAACCCACGAGTTTTGGCTTGGATAGCTGTAAAAATGGATAATGAATTTCTGAATAATTCTTTGGATGGTATCTAATCAAATTATTTCAATGGTGTTTCCTGTTCTGCCCATATCAACCACCTTAAGAAGGGAAACTGCCTGGAGTTGTGCTGTTAATTAAATGTAATTCCCTACCTGTCCTCTTCCTGCCGTGAGTGATGATGGGACACCCACAGCAAAAAGAGAACAAGGCTCTAAACTGGGCAGCAGCCAAAATATCAGCAGAAAGGGGTAAGTGAGCATATTTAAATAAAATTTTAAAAAGGGATGGTCTCAGCTTGAAGTCACAGGAAAGACCAGGAGCATGTTACCTCAAAGTCCAATAATTTTGCCATTATTCAGTTTCTAAGTAGTGTGGGGTTTTTTTGCTAACAGAAACTGAAATATCTTCCAGGTGATGGATAGCAAGGACAGGCCAGCTCTCACTCCATACCTATAATTATTCCAGATTTATATGGAATACCTTTAAGATTTGTCTCACGTCCATCACTTATCAGCAGGGGGAAGAGTACAGCGCTTGCTGATGTGCAGAAACCTCGAAGAGGCTGCACTGAGAGTCAGCTCCATCCCCAAAATTCCATGTAAAGGATCCCCCAGCACCCACAGCCTGCATTTGTTTGGAAGAGAAGGATCAGGGAAGAACCTCATCACTCCCCAGAATTACCTGAGGGGAGGTTGCGGTGAGGCAGGGTCACTTTTTTCTACTGCAGTAAGACAAGAAAAAACAGCTTTAAACTGAGATTGGAGATTCAGATTAGATATTAGGAAAAACGTTTTCACTGTTTGGGTGGTCAGGCACAGGAATAGGTTGCCATGGTGGGGTTACCATCCCTGGAAATACCTGGATTGTGGTGGGTGGTGCAGTTTGGGGTTATGGTGGCAGTGATGGGTGCAGAGCTGGACTCAACAATCAAAGCATCAGAATATTCCAAATTGGAAGGGACCCATCGGGAACATCAAATCTGACTCCTGACAGGTCACAAAATGCTCCAGGAATCCCACCACGTATCAGCGTCCTTGAGCCCTGTCAGGTTTGGTGCCATCACCATTGCACAAAGGAGGCTGTTCCAATGCTCCACCACACTCTGGGTGAAAAAACTTTCCCTGATATCCAACATAAACCTCTTCTGATGTACTTCTAGCCGTTTCTTTGAGCCCTGTCACGCATGGGACAGAAAGGATCAGAACCTGCTTCACCTCTTCCCGCCATGAGAATATTGAGGGCCACAATGAGGTGTGACCTCATTTTCATCTTCTCCAAACTAAACAGATGAAGTGACCTCAGCCACTTCTCTTAAGGCTCCCCTCCACCATCCTTAAAGGATTTTTAAAGAGCTCTTAGGGATCGTTTCCAATTTTAACCAATCTCTGCACAACCAGCACTCGCAGCACCCTCACCGCTTATGAGGGGGAAGCCGCCGCCTGCGCCTTTAAATACCCCCTGTAAGCCC